TTGGGTTTTCGTCGCTTGGCAACGAGCTTGTAAAACCACCCGCCGCCTTCAACGTCGCCCCCCCAACGCCCCTGTGGCCCAATGGATAAGGCGTCACCCTCCTAAGGTGAAGATTGCGAGTTCGAGTCTCGCCAGGGGTTTACCACGTATCAATCACTGACGAACACTTTTTTTTCCCCCTCTCGGTATTTTTGGGTTTTCGTCGCTTGGCAACGACGGTGTACTTCGTGAACTCGGCAACCAGGTTACCGTTTTTTTGTTTACCAAGGTTATTTTTTTGGCGGTAACCATAATGGTGGTCGAGTAGATCATTTGTGCGGGGTCGATAAGCCCCACTCTGCGCAAGGGGGATGATCTCACCACGTTGTGTTGAAATGGTCAAGCACCCTCGAGCCAGCTAAACAGTGCTTACAACTGTCTCTGGAAGAAAAAGCTCCAGAAAATAAATTAAGTCATACGCAGCTGTCATCCGTATGCAAGGAAGTAAGCACAAGATGCCGAACACCCTTTGCAGAATGCAGCGCACGCTTCATGCGACTCGCCGAATATCTCACGGCGCTTCGCGCTTGGTGATGTGAGAGCCTGGTCCGGTGAGAACCCGGCGTGCTCCGTCCCGGCTTTGTAGGGATGCGAGGTCAATGGTCTAACGACTACGGCATGCACGACGTTGAGTACACCCCCCACCCCCACCCCCGGTATTTGCCTCCTCCAATTCTAGACTTAAGTGGGTTGGCGCTGTTGGCAAACCGCTGTAAAACACGCCACCCCAAATATAGCCCCCATAGTATGCGCTACCAAAGACGTGTGACGCATGGATGAGTGGAGTGAGGAAAGCTTACGGAAACCTCACAGGTTGAGTGCTGTAGGAGATTGCCGGACACATAGACGTGTTGAGTGATTATAGCTGTATACTGAGTGAGGTTTGAGATTGCCAGACACATGGACGGGTTGAGTGGGGATGACTGCATACTGAAATCCCACGGGTTGAGTGATGTTCGAGTGCCGGATACGTAGACGCGTTGAGTGAGGATAGCTGCATACTGAAACCTCACAGATGCATTGGTTTTTTTAGTTTGCCAGACACATAGACGCGTTGAGTGGGGATAGCTGCATACT